CAGTGTCCTGTGTCCGCTCTTTGCCGTACCCATATCCCTCAGGGCTGTGAGCTCCACCAGTGCATGATCACTACAGCCTAGGCTGCCTCCAATCCTGATGTCCCCGATTAGTCCACTTGCGTTGGTGACAAATAGGTCCAGTAACGCATCCCCTCTGGTAGGGCTGTCTATTACCTGGCTTAAGAAGTTATCCTCGATGCAATCACGGAGTCTCCTGGATTGCCCTGTGCTACTTTTCCAGCAGATGTCTGGGTGGCTGAAGTCCCCCAGCAGGATGAGAGCCTGCGAGCGCGATGCCTCCTGCAGCTGGAGTAAGAAGGCTTCATCAATAGGCTCCCCTTCATCGGGCGGCCTGTAGTAGACACCAACCACAAGGTTCCCTTTGTTGCGTTGATCTCTAATTCTTACCCATAAGCTTTCAACCTGTTCATGGCTGTTCTTCAAAGACAGCTCTTCACAATCTATATATTTTTTGATGTAGAGGGCAACCCCTCTGCTCCTCTTTCCTCCCCTGTTCCTTCTGAAGATCCTGTAGCCATCGATAGCCACACTCCAGTCATGGAATTCATCCCACCAAGTTTCAGTAATGGTAACTAGGTGGTAGCTTTCTAGTAGCATGGTGGCTTCCAACTCCTCCTGTTTGTTGCCCATGCTGCGTGCATTGCTGTAGAGAAATTATTTAACAAGCCATTCTGTTAGACTTGCAAAGACAATTGGTTTCTGAAGAACTGTAGAAAATTTGATCTCTTCAGGTTTTCCCAATACATGTGCCTATATTGAGTAGCACTTTTATTCTTTGTCACCAAAAAAAAGCTGCATCTAAGTCCTACGACATTCTAGAGTTAATATTGCTGGGAGAAGAGATTTGAGGAAGTGATAATGCAGAAAGGTAACATTTAATATGAAAACTGTGAAAGCAAAATGTTTGCATTTATGAGTCTTTAATTGTCCTTATTTATAAAAACATCATTCCATTTTTACTTTTTGCAAGCTGTGAATAATGTTCATTGCAAGCTAATATAGTTTGTAATTCTTGAGTGCTTCCTGGAGTTCCATGCATCATTCCTGTACATTCACATATCACTTGCTATACACACGTATTATGTATTATTATTTATACACGTGTATTTTATGTGTGTGTGTTTGTGTGTGTATACTTTGTTTACATGTTTATGTTGTATGTATACACACGAACCATTAATGTGCCATAACAAGACTATTTCAATGTTGATAACTCTTTAAATGGCCTGAGAATAAAACTATAGAGGAGTTGTAGTATTGTCAAAAATAATGAAAGTTCTGAAGGATGATCAAGTATTTGAAGATGATGTTGATTCTGTTTTTTTAAATTATTTTTGTGGAATTTACATAGAACATTGTCCATAAAATTACTCTTTTTTTTGGTCTTACGTAGCCGTAAATGTTCATCACATTCTCTTTTTACACTTTGAATATGGTGCTACTACTGAAACTTAATTTTAAACACGTTACCTTTAAGTTCTTGTTCTTATTTTTGCATTGTTGGCAAAAGATGAAGCTGTTATTGTGTAACATCTTTTCAAATAAAAGAAATACAGTTAAAAAATGGAACAAAATTCATTTATAGATAAAATACAAATTTGACTTCTGAAAAGCTGGAGTTGAAGTTGAGTCTACAATGAAGGGATGGGAATGATTTTTCTTACGAAGTTATCAGCTGAAAATGTATGTCAGACAAATGCCAACTGATGATATTGAAAGTAGCATTGAACTAATTTACTTAAAGTATGTTTATGTTGTGTTTCGTACCTGTAGAATCATACTGTTACTGCAAAACAACTTAAACCAGTATCTTAATGAAAAATGCTCAATTGGATAATTATTACTTCTTTAGGTCAAGATTGAGCAGGTTGCTATGGAACTTCAGCTTACTCCATTCACTGTACTTCTGCGATCAGTTCTGGATCAGCTGCAGGAAAAGGATTCTGCTCGTATATTTGCTCAGCCAGTGAACCTTAAAGAGGTATGTTTTAAGCTGTATTTCCTTATGTTTAGATATGACTTGGTGGCACTTAAGTACAAGAAACAAATCATTGCATGCGGAGTTGGGAGCAGTGTTACCTTTTAATCTCTATTCTGATAATTTATGTTATGAGTTATGACTTACTGCTATGAAAGTCTATTTATGCTCATATACCAAAATAATTTCTGGGAAATACTTGTATGGAATAACATGGGTACATATTGATCTTTTGCAATAAGATTATTTGATAAAGTAAACTCAAAGGGTGTCTTAAAAATTGAAATGTGGATACTGTGTTCTTACCTGCAAGTGAAATTCCTTTTCATTCAGTGGGAAACCACATAGAGTGTATGTGTGTGTGTATGCGTGCATACGTACATATACAACACATTTATACATGTGTATAACATGTACACATGTATACATGTCTATAAATTGTATATATATACACGTGTGCATATACTACATACACTTGTATATATTGTACATATGTGTAAATACATACATGTATAAGTATGTGTATGCATAAATACACATAAAATATGTACATAAAAACGCAGAATTCTAAAAACATGTAGTTTCAGCATCTGTTAGTAGAGCTCCAACTTGTTACCTAAGATGCAGAATCTTGTAATGTGTAAACTGCTGTTGACATGTAAATGTTTGCAATATCAGGATGTGCAATTCTGAGCTACATTTTGAAGTTCTTGGTTTGAGTTGTTACAAAATATGTTAGAAAATGTGGATCAGTTAATAGCTAATGTTACTTTGTCTGTAATAAGATAATTTTACCCATTTGTGTTTTAAATTTTTATTCAAAGGTTCCAGACTATTTGGATCATATTAAACATCCTATGGATTTCTCTACCATGCGAAAACGGTTAGATGCTCAAGGCTATAAAAACCTCAGTGAGTTTGAAGAAGACTTCAATCTTATAATAGATAACTGTATGAAATACAATGCAAAAGATACAATTTTCTATAGAGCTGCAGTGCGGTTAAGAGATCAAGGAGGTGTAGTTCTCAGGCAAGCTAGGCGAGATGCTGAAGGAATCGGTTATAATAATGAAACTGGAATGCACTTACCTGAGCGGCCTAAACTTGAGTCACCCCAGCCTTTCTCTTGGGAAGATGGTAAGATGTTTTTGGATTATTTGTAAAAGTTGTATTTTTCATTACACACAGTGTGTACATTCCATACAGATGTTTAAGATTGTTGCTGTTCAATTTGCTGACTAGATCCTCCCCCTGCATTAAAAAACATTGCTTGAAAGATTCGAGTGTTTCTATTCTACTAGATCTGTCGTTAGAAAACAGTGTTATCCAGATTCTGATTTTGACAAGGCCAGAGCCTAGTTTAACAAGATAGGTGAAAAAGGTTTTTAAATCGAGCGCTTTCTTTCATGTGATCATATATGCTTGTAAGTCATGGAAAATGACTACCAGTGTGCATAAACTTAAGCATATTCTTAAATAACCTACTGAATTAAAAAATCAAGCATGTTTGTAATACTAGGAATTCAAATGACTTCTTTTGACATACATACCACTTTTCTGAGGTTTTGGCAGTAAAGGAGAATAATTAACATGTTTCTTTTATAACCATAATCTTGCCCTTCTCTTTGACAAGAAGGAAATAATCTACTAGGGTGGGAAGGATTAATTATGCCTTCCTTCTGATCTTTTAATGCTTTGCTCTACTACTTAGTTTTCTTGAGCAAAATGTTGATCAAGAAGAATAGTAATTATATAGTAGGAATTCGTTTCAACATTTCTTCACTGGTAACGGTGAAGCTACTAAGACTGTAATCTAAGTAGCTTTTTGATGACTTTTTTTTTAATTCTGGCAAGTGATTTTTTTTTTTTTTTTTCCCTCCTGTTGGTATTATTATTCTGGGAAATACTCTGAGAAACACTAACACGTTTTCAATTGTACGTATTTTGACTTCAGTGGATAGGTTACTGAATCCTGCAAACAGAGCGCATATGTCCTTGGAAGAACAGCTGAGAGAGTTGCTAGAAAAACTTGATCTCACCTGTGCAATGAAATCCAGTGGGTCAAGGAGCAAAAGAGCAAAGCTGTTAAAGAAAGAAATCAGCATTATTCGGAACAAACTAAGTCAGCAACAGAACCAAGCTCCTCAAATAGAATCAGGTATTGGAAGTTTTGAAGAAGAAAGTGCAGCATTAGAACAAGACGGAGAAGAAGAAGGTAAGATTTTTAAACCGTGTTTAAATCAGTACTGTTGTGAACCTCTTCAGTCAGGTGCTTTAGTCATGTGAATTAAAGAGTGTAATAAATGAATATTATATTTAATTTTTAAATGGACAAATAGCCACTTAATCACAGCAAGTATTTTAAGAATATGAGAATGATCTTTTTAAACAAAACCTCCTTCCATTATTTTTCACAGTAGCAAGGCTTTTTAAAAAATTTAGGTGTTAAGAAATGAAAGTACAAACAGTCTTATATGAAAAGGAATTGGAAATGCCTGAGTGGAAAACGTCTTTGTGCTTTCGAAAATCCACTTAAATGCCAAAATATGTATTAGGGATCATGTGAGCCTAGGTCAATGGTGCTGAAAACTCTGGCCGTTGTACTGTCTTTTGTAGCTTTTTTTATTCTCTACTCCAGACTCTGGGGAGGGTGGAGGGTAGGTTTGCGTTGGGGTTTTTTTTATTATTTTTACTTTTTTTAAATAAAGCTGATTATTGACAGGACTTAACAAACTTCATGTTGTAGAATCAAGTCAGCCATATCTAACCAGCCCTTCCCCTTGCACTTCTCTTCCTCCTCAAAACATTAGTCTCAGAACTGCATCTACTCTTGGCTAATTCCCATTGATTTCAATGAGACGGTATACTAAAGACCTAACTTTATATTTCAGTTGAATACCATATTTGCTTTTTTAGCTTTTAAATCAGTTATTGAGGTCTTTATTGCTTATTTTAAATGATGCAAAGAAAATCTAGTCTCTCTAAAAAAAAAAAGTTCTACTGAGTTTGTTTCACGATCAGCTCTTCTCTAAAAAGCTAACCTATTTTTCTTAGGAGAGTTAGAGACGTGTTTCATTTTGCATAAGTGCATTGTATGGGAGGAGGAAAGAGCTCAAGGGAAAGTGGAAGCATGGTAATAAATAAAACAGTCTGTGTCTAGTGCAGCTTGGTGCTATCAAAATTTTTGAAAGGTGAAGTCAATAAAATGACTGTCCTTAACTGCCATTCAAACAGCAACTTGGTGTTTAAGTCTTAGTGTGACTGAGAATGCTTTTCAAACATAACTTGCTTGAGATTTGAACAACAGTATTAGAAAAAGTGTACGTGAATCAGCATGCTTGTTCTGAGGCCATTTAAGTATTCTTAAAATGTTTAATGATTTTTTTTTTGAAATTTTTTTTTTTTTTAACCTTCAAGTGGTGATGCTACTGAATATAGTTCTTCAGGAATGTAGTTTCTGGCAGATAATGAATACACTAATAAGTTTTTTTACTTGTAGCTTACCATTTTTATGACACAGCCTTTCACTGCAGCTGTTGTGCAAAAAGAGTCCAAAAATGAGCAGTAGCTGTTTTCTTATATTTACAGTACGCTTTTTAAAAAAAGCATGATGAAGAGCATGATCCAGAGTTGACTGGCATTGTTGTTACAATTCTGATCTAGTGAAAAGTAGTAAGTCACTAGTTCGAATTTCCGTTCTGAAATGGAAGGTACTTAGAGGAGTAAAGAAAACAGATTGCCAAAAAGAAAGATGAGGAAAGTAGTAGAATCCTGTGCTCAGGATCTCTACAGGAGCTGACTTTAGAAGAGCTGTGAATTACCCCCTTGCAGTTCTGTTTTCAGTTTCTGATCATATGAAAAATACGGTACCAGCATAACCCCGTGAAATTTAGGTTTTAGTGTCTAAATAGTTCTCAGGTGTTTTTCTGTGCTTAAATCTTTTTGTGAAGATTTTCTAATTAATTGTAAGAAAATCAGAATTTGTTCAGAAACATTGGATATTCTGAAGTACAGGCTTTTTTAATTGCTGGTACTTTAAATGTGCTTATTTGACTGTAAATTTCATTCTAAATGTCTTCCTGAAATAATATTTACCAGTTCTAATACTTGTATGCCTTCAAAGGATGTGAGCATAGTCACATTTTATTTTAACAATTTATGAACTATGCTATTGTTTGGTTAAACCTTAAACAATGGGGCAGAGATTTTTCTTCACTTAAAAGTCATTGATTTCCAAGTAAGCATTGCTAAGCCAAAACCAAAACAATATAGAGATAATATTTAATCCACTGCAGATGCTGGGCTTAAACCCTTGGGGTTTTACACCTTTTTTTCAGATGGCATAGAAAAATAAACTAAATTTTAAAATTTCATGTGATAGCATAAATATTACGTTGGTCTCATACAGTTACTCTAGAATAAGCATCTTCTTTCGTCTTATTAATTTATATTTTAAAAGATTCTTACGGAAGCTAAAGAAGGTTTTAATGTCTTTTTGAGTTGATAATTATGGGTTAGGAAGTCCTTCTACTTGTATTTGGGAATGCTGCAGCAGTAGAATGGTTTTTTTTTTTGCCATCACTTGGGATGAAAAACTGAAACTAGTTTTATACGCTCACAGCTACATCTCTGTTGTCTTTTCCCAGTATGGAATTACTGGAATTGACTGGGACATGATCATGGGGTTTTTTTTGTTTGTTTGTTTGGGTTTTTTTGGTTGTTTTTTTTTTTTTTTTAAAAAGGGGGGGGGCGGAGAAGGAAGAAAAAGTGGTAGAGGGTGGTTTTTCTGATTTCTCCTATCAAGTCTGCATTGTCAAGTGTGTATTTGCCAACTAGTGGCTAATCAAGCTGCAAGACTTTGGGGATGGGGTGGGTTTTTTTATTTTTTTTATTTTGTTTTCTTTTTGGTAGATAAAACTTCTAGCCACAACTGTAAAACAGCTTTGCAAATCTTGCTTTTCTGTAAATTTTATAACACATTTTAGCTCACTCTAGTAGATCAGGTTACAAATACTTTTTTTTAAAAATGCTTGTCTGATAAAATTTGTCTTAGGCAGGTAAGGTGAATATGATAAGCTGAAATAGATAAAAATGTATATTACCAAAAATTTCACTTGAATGGCAGTGTAAATGCATTTAACAGATAATCATCCACCACCCCAACTTTCTACTTAAAAAAATAGATTTCTTAGTTTTTAGTTAATGAAACTAACATAACTGCATGAGAAGTAAAAAGTATTTATGCAGGTGTAAAATGTTAACACCAACTATAAACACCTACTTTTCTATCCCTGTTACATTCCCAGTATAAAAGTAGGAACTACTAACTAGGACAGATTGTTGCTAGATAAGGTTTGTTTTTAAAATGTTATGCTTTGTTTCCAAACAACAATTTATTTGGTGGGCTGCACATTTATAGTGAGTTTTATAATAGACTTTATAACTACAGGTTTTCAAAAATCACACTCTATTTATAATTTTTTCAGGAGATAAATCTCCCCCTAAACTTGAACCATCAGATGCATTACCTCTTCCTTCAAACTTGGAGACTAATTCAGAACCACCAACCCTCAAACCAGTAGAACTCAATCCAGAGCAGAGTAAGCTTTACAAAAGAGTAAAATTTGATAATGAATTATATAGCACTTCCATTCAGAAAGAAATAAATGGACACACTCCAGAACACTTACTTGACAGTAATCTCAATGAGTCGACTGTTTCTGCTGTAGCTGAGTCATCAACTGATGTAAACAGACGTACATCCATTCTCTTCTGCAAATCGAAAAGTATAAGCCCCCAAAAGTCTGCAAAGAACACTGAAACCCAGCCAACTTCTCCACAGCTAGGGACCAAAACCTTTTTGTCTGTAGTCCTTCCAAGGTTGGAGACACTTCTGCACCCAAGGAAAAGATCAAGGAGTGCATGTGGAGATTCTGAGGTTGATGATGAGTCCCCTGTAAAGCGCTTGGATACAGGTAAATGTTACAAAACTTATTTGAATGGATGCATCTCAAAAGTTAACATACTTTTTAATTTTTTGACATACATGTAATTGTTGATCTTCAGATTTTAGCGCTTGAACAGTTTTCCCTCATAGTTGAGTAGTTGCAGTTCAAAAAATTACTGATTCACTTTTTTGTTGGCCCTATACAATTAGACTTAGTGAACCAAGTTTTACTTTTTCACAGTTTTCACTTTAGCAATGGAATCTTCAAGTCTACGTGTATGGGTGGGTGATTTTTTTTTTTTAAGCAGTTTTTTATTTCCTTTTGTTGCAACCAATAGGAAAGGTGAATCATGTGGTTTTTTGGAAATATTAAATTACATGGAAACTTCATATATGGTGCCAAAACCAGAACTCTTATAAGGAGGCGCACGGAAAATACATGTTCCACGTGTGACTTCATTTTGCTGTAGTGTTACTCGAAGCATATTCTCATGTTATGAAACTGGTGACTCTGTATGAGGTGCTTTGTATACCCATGTATTTTATGGAAGTGTTAAAATCCCCAAGTAAAATGACATTTCCTGTGTTTCTTTTCTTTAGTCTGTGCACTTTAAGTAAATAAAGTTGAAGAATCTAAGTGTAAGATTATGCTCTTAATGAGCCTTCTCTAAAGAACATTAAAAAAAATGTTATCTCGATATGTTGGTGCAGTACAGTTGAAGACATTAATTACACCTTTACTTAGTGAACCGTAGTTCTATTTATTGGAGAAGTTTGAATAAAACCCTCTTTGAGGAACAAGAGCAGCATAAGGAAATTACTTAAGTGTATTTTCTTAACGTTATCCATGGCCATTGCTATGACGTTTATATTACCTTTGAAATAAATACTCTGTTTCATTGTCATGTTGATAACCCATATGCAGGTATGAAAACAGCATGTGGTTTTTTGTGTCTTTGAATGAAAGGTATAGGAATTTAATTGGAACATTTATTGTGAAGATGTGCTCCAAAAGCTGTTTATGTTTTTTGTGGGGTTTTTTTGTGGTTTGAGGGGGGAGAAGGGTTGGTTGGTTGTATTTTTTTGGTTGGTTGGTTTTTTGGTTTGGGTTTTTGGGGGGTTTGTTGGTTTGGTTTGGTTTGGGGATTTTGGGGTTTTTGTTTTTGGTTTTTTTTGTGTTTGGGGTTTTTTTTGAATGATCAAGTGAGGAGGAAAATTATTCTAATGCTGGAATCGTAGCATAAGAAAATGATAAGCAAGATTTGGTATTGGGGTGGGGGTCAGTCTTTTTGTTTATATTTTTGTTTCTTTCTTTGTTTCGCCTCTTTGGAAAGCCCCAGTTTCCATTCCTTTTCATAATGGCTTTGAAAGAGCACATAGGTTTGATCTGCAACTTTAGTTCTGAAGTAGGAATCACGTGAAGGTAGTGTGATGATAACAATGAGTTAATCATTAATGATATGAAAAGCTTTGGTTTCCAAATATTGCAATTTAGCAGTCTTTAATCTGGATAATTTCATTATGTACCTTTATACAGATTGCATTTTATCACACGCACAGTGAATCGTTTTGTGCTAGATCACACCAGGAATTAGTGCTAACTCCTTGAAATTTTTATCTTAAACATTGTGAACTGTTTCTTTGGGGAAAAAATGGGGTTTTTATATAGGAAAACTAACTTAATTCTTGACCAAAAAAACCCCCCAGCAGATTTCGAAATACTTTTAAAATCTGTCATTTTGTTCCTTTTCTCTCTGTGGAGTTCGGTGTATGTGGGGCAAATATGCTTTTGATTATCTTCAAAACAACAACAAAAAAAAACCCCAAACAATTATGGATACTTTCTTCTAATTTTAGTACTCTTCCCATTTCAGAATTTCTACTTTTTTTTTTTTAATACAATATGTGGGGTAGTAACAGGAATAAAATCCAAAAGGTTGAAAGAATTTTTTTTTTTTTTTAAATAAAATTCTGTAGCCTCTTCCTGAAGTTAATGAAGATAAGCGCAAAACTAAATTTATGTAGAACTAATACTTAGGGGGCATATATATTTAAACTTTTTATCTGTTTGTTCAAGAGGAGGCTGTGTATGTGAATTGAAATGTTTTAGCCAAATTAAATTCACCTGAAGGTGTTCTGAAGTTATTCTTTAACAGTATGTGTTTTTTTAAGTGTATATGGTTCATACAGATGTGTCAGCTTATCAGATCTCTTTTGTGTAATTCTTTTTCCATTTGCAACCAAACATTTTGCTTTCATGTTGGAGATTTTATTCCTCATGTTATTTTCAAAGTTGTGTCTCCACACTAATATAAGCAATTTGCAATTGGCAGCTATTTTGAACTACGATTCAGCAGAAAACCAGCATAAACCTCAGATGCTTTCCAAGATTTAAAACCAGTTGAATTGTTTTACTTTTGCATATGCAAGCTGGTGTCGATTCGTGCAGATGTCTGTGTTCTGATAAAAATAAATGAGATGATGTATACAATAATACAATTTTTTTCTATTTGGATATTTTTTACAATATTTTAATTTCATGCTGCTGGTAAAAAATGTTTTTATTCAAAAGAATTCAGCAGTCGTGAGCCTTTCCCTCCAAAGCCATACCATGATAGAAAAGGCGTGCTTCAGGGTTCTTACATGTGTTCCTGTGAGTTAGCAACTTCATGAGCAATCACTGAAGTTGAATTATTATTGCACATTTTTCTTTGACTGGTATGAATGTTCAATATCATCAATTCTAGCAGATATAGGAAAAAAGTAATTAAAAATAACTTTGCTTAATATACAAAGCATTGAAATTTTTAAGTGGTCGAGAGCTGCACTGTCACATCTTGTTTCTTCCTTACCTCTTCCTTCATAACCAATGTGGGGTTTTTGCCATTACTTAAGGATGCCTTGTTTTCTCCCTCACCTACTCAATCTCCTCCATGTTTCCCCCTTTCATGTCACTCATATATATTCTCATATGAAGAAGTTCAAAGGAAGACTCTAAAGCTTACCTAGTTAAGTAAAACCACACCTACTTTGTCTGGTGGTTCATTATTCTCGTTAGACTGCCTTTTATTATGCTCTCTTGAATTTACATTTGAGGTTGGTGTGCTTGCCAGTTAGTTTCAAGACACATACATGCAGGATCCATTGGCACACTACTTTGTAAGTATGGTGTCCCATATTTTGTCGTTTTTCATATACAAAATAATTATTGAAATACTAGCTTTTTTCGGAAATAGGGGACTATTGTACAACATGGCTTAACCTTCAAAGAGGACTGAAAGCAGTTCATTTTAATACTCTGACCTCCCTTTATATGTGAATCTAGGTTTAAAAAATACGAAGCAATAGTGTAATGTAACCTTAAATTTTAATTTCATAGTGTTCTAGATATATAGTATATCTTTCTCCATAGTTGCTATGTGGAAACTGACAACCACATAGTGAAGAGATGTGTTTAAAAATTTCCTATATATACTTGATACATCTTGATTTTTGCTTCATATGGTATCTAGCAATTTCAAAAAGAAGATAGGTTGTTTTTACTTAGGAAATTTTGGTCACATCAGAGATTGATGTATGATTCTTGAAGGTCAGGCATGTCAGATCTTAACTGTGACAAGTTCAATGACCTTTTCAAAATATCCATTGTATACTTACCTTGCTCTTTTGTCATAAAGATTAATCCTTTTCGTCAGGAAATTAATTGGTGCAATTATTACACCTGAGAAAAATGAAGCTGATTAATGGATAGAAGGTAGATTTTACCAACCATTTAAAAATTTGCCTCTATCAGTTGTGTATAGATAAGGTAAGGTAAGATAAATTCCTGCAACAAATTACTGTTTTAAGATACCTTTTGAGCATTGTAAAATGCTGGACTAGGTTCAGATTAGATTTTCATGTTGTTCTGGGTTTTATCAGGCACCTTTAAGCTTTCGTAAATTCAGGATAGTAATTCAGTTATTGTGTTGGTACCCTCTATTTTAATTAGAAACTAAGAATTTAGAATATACTATCCTAAAGCAATCACTTTAACTTATCGTAGAATTAGGATCGCAAATAGTGATTATTACAGTGCAGTATGTTGGTTTTCTATTATTTCTTGGCTAGATAGCAGTAATAGAAAATTTCAGTGAAACATATCATTTACTTAGTATTCTTGCTTCAAGCTACACAGATTTTCTCAAAGCACTGAAACGGATGTGAACAAATATTTATAACATGGATCACTGAGTTACAGTATTTAACAGTAAAAAGCACAGGGCTTTTTGGGGGGCAGGGGAATTTATCATTTCTTAATATATACTTTGCATGCAGTTGTCAATATACAACAAACATAATTATACCTTATTAAATCTATTAGTAAATGTTGGGCTGACTTTGTTTCTGCCCGATTGCTACAAAATGTTTGACAGCACTTAAGAACTGTCTACAAGTAACCTGTATATGAATTCCACTTGCATTTGATATAATTTAATATTGTAACGATGACCACTTTTACTTAATTTTATTTGGTGTAATAAGGACAGAGATTCTATCTGCTGTAAAATGGAACACAGGTTATTTTTTGATTTCTTCAATACTTGATTTCCAATAAATCTTTGACTCTCTGGAGCGCAGGCCAATTTGATTAAAAGTGAAGCTTGATATGTGCAGCATTCAGTTACCATTCTCTAAATGGAAGAAATTAAGTAAAACATGCATGTCTAAGAACATAACTTACATCCTCAAAGTAAATATCAAACTAAACTAGAGGTTGCTCAGTGAAAAAAAAAATTGGCATAATTACTCGTCTGGTTAACATAGATAGGAATTATAGTGTATACATATATTCATGAGTAAAATGAAGTAATTTGACTACTGACAGATCCAGAGACCTTATACTTTGAATGAAAACTATTCTTTTTGTTTTCTTTTTTTCTTTAGATGCATAGTGATTATTTCCTGTAAAATCTGGTGTGAGACTTAGTTATTTAAGCACTTAGTGATGTCCAAAAACTTCAGCTGTCTGCCTTCAGGAAGTTTCAA